CACTTCTCTCTCTCTCTCTCTCTCTGCTCTGCCGGTCACAGTAGCCGAGCGGTCTAAGGCATGCACTGTCTTCGCTCACTCGGAAGCCGGGATCGTGGGTTCGAATCTCACTCAGGGCATGGATGTTTGTGTGCGTTTTTCTGTGTTTGTGTACAGGTAGAGGCCTTGCGACGAGCTGATCACTCGCCCAAGGAGTCCTACCGAATGTGTAAGATCTAGAAAAACCGAAGTGAAACGGAAAGTTTCATGGAGGTAGGCCTAGGCCCACTGGGGCTGTAGTGCCAAGGAAAAAAAAGGCTGTCCTTGTGCCTGACTAATTAAGCAGTACTCCATGAAGACGTATGTAGTAACTTTATAATTATGATATAACGATATACACCAATATCAGCTTATAACGTGCCTACTAAAATAGGAGATACTGGGTTTTCGGGCTTTGTCCATCGTCCGGATTCTAAATAACTAAGTAAAAAACACGACGTTTCGGAAAATGGATCTGTTTCCGTCCTCAGGTGAGGGAAGACACCTACTCACTGATGATTGAGGCTAGTTCTTTGTAAGGGACCCAACAGAGTAGGTGTCTTCACTCACCTGAGGACGGAAACAGATCCAGTTTCCGAAACGTCGTGTTTTTTCTTAGTTATTTAGTATCCGGACGATGGACAAAGTCCGAAAACCCAGTATCTCTGTGTGTTATACACCGTCGTCAGAACCCTTTAGAATCTACTTACTTAATAGTGTAGACACGGCATATTACTACAGAATTGTACATTACTTCTTCTAAAATTGAATGTTTCTCAGAGCTACTGGAGATACCCGTAGCCAGAATACGCCCTAGGCTTTTTCGACCACAGTCATATTCCCCCTCGACTCCCCGCAGTTACCCTATGGATTGTTTGCTTATTCTTGCCGCTACGCCCTGGGCTCAATGCAAACCGTGAGTGCCCCCAGGTGGCACCGAGCATATTTACATCTGCACTTTTGTGTGTGACCTGTGGCTCACTCGATGTAGTGAGTATTGTACGGGCGGGACTACAGACGGATCGGGGCTCAAATCGTGCTCTGTATTCTGGGCTGTGACACCATATGATGTTTCGGTGGAACAATCCACGTCCATCTTCAGGGGCGAAGAGTTGTACCTGTTGGTTGCTTCGTGCTCTTTCCTTACATGGATTACCCTTCTGCCCTGAAGATGGAAGCAGTATGTTCCACCAAAACATTGGCTAACATTTACCGGATTACACGGCGTCATATCCCAGAAGATAAAACTTTTCGTATCCACCACTGTGAGAACGTCAAATCCAAGAAAATATCCTTTCATTTTCCGGCAAGGGCAAGAGATTTACCGTTTTTCCGCAGCGTGCAGACCGGCTTTGGGACAATTCTTGCGTCTTATTCAATGGGTACCGAGGGCTCTTCCCAGGGGTAAAGCGGACGGGACGTGAGGCTCACCACTCACCTTCCTCTGGTGCCGAGGTGAAGAATACATGGAACTGTGCTTCAGCTCCTCTGTACGTTTTCGTGGCCTGGTGTTCAATTATGCACAGGAACAACTTTTCCTTTACTGTAGGTTTAGCCTGGTTCGCACTGATGCGACATTGCAGTATATAGACTTTTCGGATATTTGTGAAAGACCAGTCACAAGTCAGAATTGCATTCATGCGAAATTAAGAGCGGCACTGTCTTCTGTGTTGAGGGGCAGGGACAGCTCAGTCGGTATAGCGACTGGCTACGGGCTAGACGATCGAGGGGTCCGAGTTCGAGTCCCGGTAGGCTCACGAATTTTCTCTACCTTGTCCAGACCGGCTTTGAGGTCCACCTAACCTCCTATCCATTGGGTACCGGGCGCGACCGGGATTTGAAGCTGACCACTCACCTCCAGCTAATGCCGAGGTCAAGAAAATGTGGATCTATACATCCGCTCCCCCATACGTCTTCATGGCGTAGTGCTTAATTAGTTAAGCACAGAGAAGACTTCACCATACTTACTTGTATTCTATGATATGATGCCTGCCATGTTTTGTGCTTGCTACACCCATTTTATTCTCCGAGTATTTCAGTTTTCCCGTACCACTGCCATTCAGCCATTGCTCCCGACTCCTAGCGGGTTGGAGTAGCAGTAATACTCTTAGACTCGTGTGCGGGAGGTGTTGGGTTCGAATCCTAGGCTGGGACACCGGTAATCCTGAGTTCAATATTTTTGTAGTTTTTATCAGACCCTGCAGGCGAGTGCCAGGAAAGTACCCCGACTGGGCCACGATATACTGTCTGTCTGCTTGCAGCGCCGCAGCAATCCCCAATGGAGAAATCAGAGTCGCAGAAACAGTGTTCACGATGTTTCACTTTGGGTTGCTGTCCGTATCCCCCCACCTCAGTTTTTGGGTTTGTTGTATCTGTGTATGCAGTATCTGCAATGGATACACACTAAACTATCGATAAACCGGATCTGTATATGAAAAATGAAAAATTCTCTTCACAGTTGAGCACGTACTTTAAAAGACACATGGGATTTAGGAACACCGGGGATTAGAGCAAGAGGACTCTCAGACTGTGTTGAGGGCAGCAGGAGAGACTGAAACCACGCAAGAAAATATACAAGACTGGCTTGAGCTGGATGAAGCAGTCCCTGGATTTCAGCTTCTAACAGAGGAAGAAATGAATGCAGTGATATTTTTTGTGTTTATTTTCAACAGCCCTTCCTGTATTATTGAATTTTCCATTTATTTGTTTTATATTTTTATGGCTATCCTTTTCTTCATGAATCCGGATTAACGCTTAATCTGAATGACCCCCCTTTTAATCCGGATTAGCGAAGGTTTACTGTATGTCGTTCGTCGTTGCATATTTCATTTCGTATGTTTTTGTCAGAGCGCAATGTTGGACTTAACAGAATCCGGCAGCAGATAAATATTTGTACAGAGATACTCCCAACTGTCGAATTAACAGATTGAAACCCCATATGTTCATTACGTAATTCATATGATACACAGCGTGTTTGTTTGTTTGTTTGTTTGTTTGTCTGGGTGTTGATCACACAGAAACGTGTTTCACAGCATCTAGATTTATTGGCTGATGTTTCCGCTTCGTACATAGATTTCCCACGTGATCGAGTCTGGGAACGGAGGAATACCGCCATGCCACCTCCTTCAGCCAACAAACTGGCGTAACGGTTACGCTCTAACCTTGTGTTTTGGAGGTGCTCGGTTCGAATCTCGGCCGAGACACAGACTACCCTTACTGATGTTTTTTTTCTTGTTCTTTCCAGTTCCTCTCTGCAAATGCTGGGATTGTATCTTGATTAGTATGTGAGCGCTTCATTCCAGAATCCTTTGTAATTCATCTATACTCTTATCATTCGACACTGAAAGTGTTTTAAAATCACCCACAAGACACTAATTTTTGTGTCTATCCTCAAACCCAATATTTTAATCGTACGAGGCCTGTGCTACAAGCCGAAAGGTCGCGGATTCAATTCCCGATGATGTTCGATTTTTAAATTGACCTAATCCTTCCAGCAGCACTGTGGCCCTGGTGTCAACTCAGCTTTTAATAGAAATGAGTGCCAGGAATCTTCCTGCAGGTAAAGGGGAGCCGGCCGGCGCGTAAGGCTGGCAGCCTCGCCGCCGTCTGTGTGCTGATTGTCTAGAAAATGTGGGAGCCTCGACGTCTCATAACCCTATGGCCTCCACGGCCGGTTACAGGGTATGGCTTTACCTTTTTAAATCTGAACCAGAGCACAAAAATATCCGTGCTTTAAAGTATTATGGCATGTAGACCCGTTGTTAGGCAACGACCTCGAAATAAGGAAATATACAACAGCTGTTGCTATGTAACAGCTCCGCCAGCAGACACGATCGCTACAATTGCACAGCAGTTACACTATAACAGAGGAACGGCATTGTCTGTGCGGTCCGTGCCGATGTTATAAGCACGACAAGTTAGTGAGGAATCAGTCAGTGATAGTGAAGAGTTGGTTGGTGGGTTAGTGAGTTAGGGAATTACTACTGTTCAGTCTTTGTGAGCTGTTAGTGTTATAAGCTGGTAGCTGAGGCACGGGGACAGCTCGGGAACGTAGAGGAAGGAGAACGTCCACTGTTGGAAGCCGCTACCAAGCAACGTCTAGTGAAGACTGTAACAGAGCGAGAAAACTAGTGAGTGTGCGACAGTGATTTATAAAGCGTATTCACGAATTATGTGTTAAAAGAGGTCAGTAAATCAGATTACCAACCCAAACCCCATTCATAGTCACTCGATCGCATGACAGTATTAATTCCATAATCATTTCGAGTAGACCGGAGGCTTCTTCGTAACTGCAGGGAGTGATGACAACTGCTGGTACTGTTGCGGTGCTGTAATCTTGTCGAGCGAGGGTGGTAAGGGCGTCAGGTAAGGACGCAAGGGTTTACACCGACAAGGATCGATGCCAAGGCAGTGGGTTTCGCTGTAAGTGGCAGTAACAACTCTGTGTTGCTGACAGGTAGACGTACAGACGTTGTCAGGTTTGCTTTGTCCGTGATAGAAACAAATATTGGGTTGCGTGTGTAAACTACCTGCCACATCTGGTTGCCTTGTTCATGTTCCAAATCTCGGACTACGAGTTCAGAAACTGAGAAC